AGAAATACACGCAGACCTGCTTCGAAGCTGTTCCAGTACGGACGACAGGAAGCCTTCCCGTGTTATTTTTTTGTCTTTTTCTTTCTCGCATTGTTATTTTAATATTTCTCAGCGGGCCTGGAGCGAGTGGCGCTTCTTCTGGCGAACAGGTGCTGAGTGGGACTGGTGTGATTGCGACTCGTTAGGCTCGGCCGCCTTGGTGCAGCGAGCCAGGCGTGAGGCCGGCTGATCAGGGCTGGCTGGGCTCTAATTGGCGAACGGGCAGCACCGCGGGGGCACGTCTCAGCTGTGGACTGACTCCTGTCACCTCCCGCCCCACGGGCGGCTCCGTCCCTCTGTGACTCACGCCCGGCCGGCCGGCTGAAAACACTGAAAACTGAGAAGAAAGAGGATGAGCGTGTGGTCTCTCCAGCGTCCAGATTGTACGACGACGCGACAGGCATTAAGTTAATGATTAACTCACAGAGTTCTGTAACACGGCTTGTCAGTCCGTCCATTGCAAGCACCGAAGGTCTGCAGCGTCTAAAACAAAGCTCATATTCTTAAAAACAAAACCTCGCAAAAACAGTACAGAAGCTGTGACAGCTGACCGTAGTCCTACACTGCCACCTAGTGTTGAGAGCATGGGATATGCTTCCGCTATTCCTGTGACGGGGCGGTGTTGTGGTCTTATTGTAGAAGTTTATACCGCCCGCAAGCTGCTCAAAAACTATCGCTTCCACCAACGAAAGGATCATACTCCGTCGTTTCCGTCACCTAGCATTTTTCAAATGGGCTCTAAGCGCTGTCATTATTGTCACGCTGTTTGGGGCAAAGGAACCTGGGTACATTCTGCAAAGGGACTAGAAGTTCATCCCTTTCCTCACCGTTTCAATCCAGTTCAGGGTCGCGGCACGACCAGAGCCCACCCCGGCGTGCCACGGGCGCAACCCGGCGGCTCACCCCTGACACCCCACTGAAGCCCAGCAGCTGTGAGTAAAAAAAGGTCCTGACTCTCTGTGGTCATATATGTTAGGGTGTAGGGGTGTTACCCCGGTGTCCTGGCCAAATTTCCCC